CCTAAAACCCTGAAGATGCATCTCTTTCGTCATCGGCCTCCTCTACTTCTCTGATCTGCTGCTGTTCCAGCATACAAATTATTCCTCAAAAATGATCATACAGTTGAATCAACAACTATATCATAATCTAATATATATTACAATATAACAATTATAATCTTCATCAAGGAGGATTTTCAGCAGGGCTGTTGTATTAGTCAGTAACAGTAGTTACTAGTCAACTAGTAGACCGTTGACTTGCTGACGTCAGTGTGGTGTATCATCTCCAGTGTCAGGAGTTTCTTTTACAGGTAGACCTTATTGCTGATCTGTCTGAACACAGTTAATGTTGCTGTTTTCTTCATCACAGTGTCTAACCACCCACAGTACATTTCAACTTACACTAGTTCAGCCCCTGCACTCACAGGTTTCTGCCCCTTTTAGCGACTTTCACTAGTTCAGCAGTTGTTCAGATGCTAGTTACTTTAGCTTAGCAGTTAGCGATAGCTTATCTCTCTCTCTTGCTCGATGTATCTTGAATCAACGGATGAACTTGTTCATCAGTGTGGTGTTTTTGTAACTTCAGTGTAGAGGATTGGCATGTTTATTATAACTTCAGTGATGTCTGCTGTCTTACCTTCCAAAGCGCCGCTCGTTAACTAGAGCTACCTCGTCTGCGACCGTCTGCTTACACATCAGCCTTCAGCGTTAATTTTAGTTGATATTAGTCGTGACGTGTGACCAATCAGATGGTGTTGTGGGCGGGACATTGCTCCGGATCACAGAGTGGAAACTTCAGATGGGAGACAGGCAGCTACATCAGAGGCAAAGTAGTCCATTTTAAATTAATTTATTTTTTATCGATTATCGGTTAAAAAAACAAACAACTATGCCCATGCCGAAAACCACGCAAGATGATCGAATATCACTTCACTTAAAACACAGTGTGAACGAGTTCACTCAAATTGGCATTGGCCTTGGCTGGCACAGTAACACGGAAAGGTAAAGGTAAAACACTTACGTGTGCAAAGATTCTTGCTGTGTGTTGAGATAGGTTTTGTTCAGATGCAGATACTTGCTGGCCTGCTCCAATTTGAGGGTTTATGTGTTTTTTCTTGTATCACTGAACCTGCTTATTACAATAACAACAGTGCTTTGCGTTTACAAATGGAAGTAGTTACCCTTAAGAAGCAAAGTAGTAGGTGTGCGGCCATTAAGTTGTTACATTCTTTCTCTCTTCTCTTCTCACTGAATGATAAATATAGATGTAGATGCAGCGTGAGTACAGCCGCATAATGGATTAGCTTGCATGAGTCTCGGCATACAGTAGGTAAAGTGTGAGTGGGAGTTATCTATATTGGCCTGCAGAAGCTTGTGCACGGCAGGAGATCCCGTAGTTATTGCTCGAGGCTTCCCTCCGGCGAGTGCCAATGAGTTTATCAGAGGGATGTTAGATTTACTGATGAGATGGAATATCTCTGCAACGAAGGAACGGAACACAAGAAAAGAAAGCAGTCTTATACTCTCTATTACACACTATTACAGTGGATATTTGCATGTACTGTATTAGTCAGAAATAATAAAATTATTATTATTATAAATATGCCTATGTGTCAATGAATAATATTAGACAGAAAGGGAGAATTTAAACTATTAACTGACTAACTGTCACTTGAGCCACGGTGTAGCTCAATTGGCCACAAGATGAAAATGTGTCCATCTTACAGGACGATTTAAATGCTTTTTTTTGGTGTTTGGAGGGAACCAAAACCTGAATTAATAGTAGAGAAATCAATGACTTTTGTTTTGTGGGCTGCAGTAGCTCAGGGTTTTAATATTTAGAGAGTATTGAGATGAAAGGGCCTGCACTGAGGGCAAGACACAGCAGCTCTTTGAAAAATATAAAAGTCTGGGGATGAATGGATGACATCCCCATGTGATGTGTGCAGTTTTACAGAGGAATAGAAGTTTGTTTTTCTCAGGCTTGAAACTGGAGCTGGAGCAACAATCATAATTACTTTTAAATGCATGAACAAATAATGTATCAATGTACCTATTTTTTTACCACTGTTTAAATACTTTAAATGCAATACAGAAACTACATACATTGCCATGCTATACCTCACTGCTGCTCATTGTCTAGCTGTAAGTCCAGTTGCAATGCCCTCAGGAGTTCAGACAAGAACTTAAACATATAGGTGTCTTTCCTTCAATTTCATCTCGACCTCTCAAGTAAAAGCTTTTAATAGTCGACTCAAAATCCTCTGTAGAAAACCAGGAGAGATTAGTTTAGACTTATTTGGTGTATTTATACTGTCAATTCAAAAGTCTAAATGCATAACATGTAAGGGTCTATCCATTTATCTCAATAGCTATTTCCACCATGCTCATATTTTTGTTAGGATATTTCTTATTCTGATTACAAGGGCTTTTGCAGGTCTCACCTTCAAACCCAGTCATAAGAATTAGCTGTTCCCCCTTGAGGTAAATTGGAACTCTGTATACTGGCAGGGAATAGTTTATTTCATCTTTTTTTCTGAGCCAGTCGCTCTCATCCTTTTTTCATTTGAAATCCTGCATCTGGTAATTTCATAATTATGGGAGGGGATTATAACGAAGGCAGCTGGAGCTGCAGGTTAATTGGATTTTTCACCTCGACGGGACCGGATCTAAGTCGCCCATGGGCCACAAATCTGCATATTTGAAGTTGGGGACAGGACAAAAGAGGCTGGGGGAAGAAAAGAGTGAGCAGTTAAAGGGTCCCCTTTGACTTCAAGAGTTTGGGAAGTTACTTTTGCACTGCCAGTTACTGTTTGTGGCTTGAGAGGTTTTCCTTTGCTTGTACACAAACACTTTCATCCACGTTGATGGCATCTATAATTGGCACTGTGTTTTCCGTTCACAGGACTTGCCGCCGCAGAAGCTATTGCAGCCGCTATTGATAACCTCAGAGAAATCCCCCAGGGTTTGAAATGAAACTTCTTAAACTGAACTTCCAACAAACACATGAATGTAGACTCGTAAGACCACTTTACATTTTGGAAAAAAACACTGAATGATTTGTGTTGGAGACTTACAAAATATATATAAATGCGAAGATGTTGAATGAAAAAGTTGTGGAAGTGATGATGATCTTTAATTAAAAGAAGCACGATTATTATTTAATTTCAGTTGATGTCGCTCGTCACAGTTGATCTTAAACAGATGATTAGTTAATTAAATGTTTATCAAATCTCCGTGGGACCAAAATACCAAATGTTTTTTAGAAAAGCCTGTCTCCCACAGAGGACACAGAAATATTTGGGAGACATTCAGTGCATTTTGGGATTTGGAAAAAAAAAAAACACGTAAAATATTTCATCAACAGGAAAATCTCTTTCATGCAATTGCATCATATCCTACAGAAAATCCTTGGACCCTGGAACTTACTTCTGACTTGACAATCACAAATATCCATGTTTGGTCACACATTAGTCTCATGCCTCTGTTTCGTCAACAACACATCCGTCTTTAGCAGTTTCAGCCCGATTCTGCTGACAGTACTTTCTACCTGTTTCCAGGGACCGACTCGCTCCCCCTCTGTGGGAGCGTCCGAGCTCTCAGCCCCTCGGCTCCTGGCCTACTTCTGAATCAGTGTTTGACAAAGGGCGAGTCTCTCCCTGAGCTAAAGATGGGGGAATTAGAGAGTCTCTTGCATGGCGAGAAGGCCACACGCAAAGCTAGAGGGTGCCGAGTCCACATTCCCTGTCACAGACAAAATAGCCAATCCAAGATCATATTTCTCTGCCCTTAATAATGAAAATAAACCTGCTTACCTGCCGAGTTTATCTGCGTCTAAGGTCACTGTGTTAGGATAAACAAGCAGCATTAGTGAGGGAGGGGTGAGGAAAGGGTTGGCAATTATTTGTTTGTCTGCTGAGGAGAGTGACTTCTGACTCTTGCCACAGAAATGTAAGAAATGCGGTTAAGAATCACGCATTGAAATGTCTCTTCTATCTCAGATAAACAGAAAAGGCTGGTGAGAGGTGGCTCCAAGAGTAATTTTAGTGTTAACCGCAGTGAAAATTCTCAAGTTTAACACAGAAAGGCTTTTGTTACTCCTGTGTGTGGGATGAGCCTTCTTGAGATATTTGATAACACAGATTGGCTGTTTAAAATTACTTTTGTTAAAGTTTACAGAATATTTCTGATGTATAATACATGTAATTTCCTTTTTAAAAAGGATTCCTTTCACATTCTGTATTCACATTCATTTCTGCATGTTTTACAATGCAGGGTGGAAATCAATACAATTTTGTATCCTCCTCATTATTATGCACGTCATTATGTCTGCCATTTCAATAGTCAACAGTCACCTCAACACTTGATTCCTAACTGACATTCAAGGGGACTGTACAAGAGATCAAAAAAAAAAGAATCGTAATTCTTCTATGACAATTTGTAGCCTCGGATAATTGCACAAAATGTCACATAATTGTTGGAAAAGTCAAAACAACACACAGCCCACACAGCATTATGTGTACCGGTTCTGACATAAAGTGCATTTTTGCACTGACTCATTTCCTTCAATGCCAAATGGTAAACAGTGCAATTTCCAGCTACCCTGCTGAGAGCTGTCACTCTGCCTCAACTGGATTTTATATTAAAATGCTTCATAAATTAGTGTTACCTGAGGCTTAAACCGCACAGGAACTGACTGTGGGCTTCAGCAGCAGCAGACACTAATTAGAGCAAATATGTGTCATACTCGGCCATATTATATGTAATATATTTCTACAACTGCAACCAAGTGTAACATTGACCCCTTGTTAGGCCCATGGACACGTTTCCACTCCCACACAGCATTAAGCCAACATCTTACAAGATTCCTATCGTGCTGGGCTTGTTAATGGTGCCAGGACTATAGCGCTCATTCAATAATATACTAAGTGGACAATGCTGTGAACCAGTGTCATTTTGAACCTTTATTAGTGTTACAACCACACAGAGGAACATTTACAATGCAGTTTTCCTACCTGAGTTTCTCATCTTTGAATCACATGGAAAGATTTGGCTTCTCTAACACATATGGTGAAATGAGCTCTCTCTACTCTGCAGCGACTGAAGAAAAGCAGAACATAAAGCAAACAAATCCCCTAGAAAACAAATCCACCAATTTGCCTTTCAAGGTGCTCGGGACTTTTCTTATAACCTGAGTCAAAAGTGTATTTTGTCCATAGCAAAATAATTAAACCTGTTTTCTCAAATAGTACCAAAAACAGAAAACATTAAAAAGCAACTGGCATTAGACAAAAAATCTCACATTTATTTTATTTGTTAAACAAGTGTTGAACTTTACATCAGTCTTAAGTGATGAGCCCCTTGGTAACATGTTTACATAAAAAACATGAGCTACAGTACAGCATGTATACCAGTGCTGGAAAATATTCACACATTTCCCACTTATCTTTTGGAAAGATTTTAATAAATAAAATGTCCAAACCCACGCGGAAGAACTACATTTATGATAGAAACTTTATTGTCAAAAGTTGGTTTCAATTCAGTTGCGCTTGCCCATCACTTAAAAAGATCTATTTCATTCAGAATTACACAAAAAAACTGTGCAATGCATAAATCACTTTAACTGGGTTTTTGCATTCCCATTCTACTAAAGTAATGCCGAATGAACATATTGCGATGGGCGGCATCAATGGAACTCATTTAAGCAAAAAACACTGTTCACAAGTGGAAAAAGTGATAATGCATCTTTGTAATTTGTTGAATCCTCCTTTCTTTTCATAAGCCGTTACGTTCAAACATACCACCATGAATGAAGTGTTGGAACCATAAACACACTGTATAACATATGTGCAACTTCTACACAATAGTCTCTCAAACGTAAAATTTTGCAATTAAAAGGTTTCTTCATATTTACGGTTTCCCATGAATTTTTATTTTACACTAGCAATACAACAAAATATATATTTTAGCCATTTTCCTTGACAACAGTTCAATGTACAGTTGAGAAAATATAAGGCCAGGGGCTTGATTGCTAGTGGTTATACAATCCAAACTTCATTGTGATGGAGAACGACTCTGGGCGACCAGGACATTATATTCCTTCTCTGACAGTCTGATCAGGAACATTTTACAAACATTGTCCATGACCTGGTCCAGGGCTGTTGTTTTGTTTCCAATAACAGAAAAAACAAAACAAAAAAAAAAAAAAAATAGGCTTCAACGAGGATGTTTGGGAGTGTATGTACAACCTTTAGACCGGGGGAAATTGCTGATCTGATGTAGTCGGTAATTATTCTTTTTTTTTTGTCTTTTTTTTATTTATTTTTTTTATTTTCGTACCTTAAATTTTTCTCAATTACTCAACAGCAGCAGCACATTTAAATACATAGTTGGCTTGTCTCTTAAACTTGAAATTTGACTCTGCATTTTATGTACAGTCTCATTAAAACTTTGCACTGCCATCGCTGTGCACCAAGTCTGTTGGTCTGCAGGGAAGGTAGGAAGAGTGGCATGTCCGGGGTAAAGGAGATGGCAATGCAGATGGGGGAAAGGGAGGTTTGTAAATGGCTAGTGTGTATGACAGGGCTTCCAGGCTTGCTTCAAACAGAAAACAAACTCTTCCCTTCCCTATCCCTTCCCTCGCATGTCCTCCAAGAGGTAAGGGCTGCAAAAGGGAAGGAAGAGGTTCGGGGGGCGATTTAAATACATTTAAAGGCTTGTCACTAACTGCATCTGTCCTTCCCGTACATCGCCCTCAGGGATGCAGCCCTCTTTAGTAATAGGTATAATGTAACCATCGCTGCTCCCTCGGCCTATCTGGTAATAGGCTTGGAGCTGGTGGCCACCCCCTAAGTTAGGCATGCTCTTGTAGTAAACGTCCTCATTCTCGCTCCTCTTAGAAGGGGACAGGTCCTCCACCACATCGGGGCTGCTCTCTGGGAACGGCGAGTCCCTAAGATTAGGCATACTAGTGTACAAGGAGTCTCTGTTTGGGGACTGCAGACTATCGTCGGGGTTGGTGGGTGTCAGCTGGCTGACAAAGGTATCAACTCCCCCATCGGTCCTCACCTTCTTCTGGGGAGCGTACAGAAGGGAGTGAGTCCGCTGGGGGATGAGCGGCGCCTCCAGCTCCTGCTGATGGTGCAGCTCGAGGCCCACAGTGTCACCCATGTGCACCAAAGACGAAGCGTCAGCTACGATAGCGTCGTCTTCACTGCTGCTGCCGCCTATCACCGTCACCTTGGGCGGAGCCCGCTCCACGTGGTGGTGATGGTGGTATTGCGGGGGCTGCTGGTGGTGGTGGGGCGGATGATGTAAACTGGGGTGCTGCTGCTGTTGCTGTTGGTGGCTTTTGTTACAGGCACGCAGGTTGTTGTGAACTAGCTCAGAGATGATCATTTTCTCGAAGGCAGCATCGTCCAGACTGAGGCCGCAGTCTACTACCTGCACACTGTCGCCAAAGTCCCCATTGCGGAGCGAGTAGCTATTATTAAAGTTACCATTTAGCGGTAGAGTATCCATTGCACTCGTATCCCTCACCGCACTGTTCAGTGAGTGCCCTGGAAAGAGAGGAACATGTGAGGGGATTTTACATTAGTCAACACCAATAACCATCAAAGAAACAAAGGTTTAATGCTGTTTAGGATGCAGTTTCACATAGAGAACTCAAGTCAAATTAAGCCATGCCATAAGTCCATTAGTTAGGCACAATCCTTAACATACAATATACAGGCATGCATTATTTGCAATGGGAAACCATTTTACTTTCTAACATATACATTTTTACTTTCCCTTTTAAAAATTGCTTAAAAATAAGCAAAACACTATGCTTTTTCGTCTGCCACAAAGGTGACAAAGCAATGAAAAAGATCCCAAACAACATTAAGAAAACAAACTGAAACAGTAATCACCATCACAACACACCGGGCAAAAGTAGATGTCCACAAGTATGAAGCCACAAACGGGCAAGCTACAACACTTACAGGTTTTCTAGCAACTAATAGGTTGAATGTGCCGAGGGGAAAGAAAAAGGACAGAGATGGGGAAAAGATTACATAGACAGAAAAGGGAAAGTAGTCATGTATCAACATGGGACAGCCATCTTTGTTCTCACTACAAGGGGAGCCCACAAGCAGCACTCCACCATCACCACACACAGCAGGTGAAAAGACTCACTTTAGACAACTCACATCATGTCTGTCTGCTCAGGCTATCTGGTCTAAGAGCAGCTGATGTACAAAAGAAAGTAAAATGATTTATTGTAACATGAAGAAGAATCACTCAAAAGAACAACAAAACATAAAGTAAAAGTCTTAACTGCAACTTAGCGAGAGCAAGGGTTCAGCAAATGAAACAAACAAGCATTAAACCGCTTTTACTTTTATGAATTAAATGTCAACAGCTATTTTTCTGTGTCTAAATATATATATAAATATATATATATATAAATATTTTTTTTTCTTTTTTCTTTTTTTTCATGTTTTTGTTTGCGCTGGTACACTTTCTGTCCGTTAGTTGGCAGCTTGTGTACCCAAAGCTGGCAAAGGTCAGAGCTTGCCCGCAGCCCAGCACTTGGCATCCGTCACAGTGACAGTTCCCAGCGAGACCCCGGTCACTAGCAGAACAGCTCAAGAATAACACAGCCGCTGCAGAGGTCGGACACGGTCATGTTAGGAATTTCTCAAAGCATGGAGGTCATGGAAAACAGAGGCAAAAGGATAAATATTAGCTATGCTGTGATTGAGAGGGGAGATAAAGGAAAAATGTGCTCTGCTATGGCTGACATGCCTCTGTGTAGAACAACAGATGTAAAAATTAAGAGGAAGACTAATGTGATATTTAACAGGAACATTTGTCCTTGTCCAAAAAAAAAGGGGAGTGATTGTGATTGTAGTAGGGGTGTTAAAAGTGCATATCTTTTGCAGAGCTTATTGGAAATTAGAGGACAAAGTTATTAAGAAAAAAAGAGAGTAAAGGAAAATTCAACAGCTGCTGCCATGACATCCATGTGTTTAGGCAATTTAGCGTCCAGACAGGTGCTGTGTGGAAAGGTGTGAGGGGGATCCGACTGGACACTGAGACTGCCGAATGCCACAGGAGGACAAACAATTTGGAAGAAAAGCAAAAAAAAAAAAAAAAAAAAAAAAAAAAAAAAAAAAAGAAGGAAAGAAAGGATAAAGAAACCTTTCTGATAAATGCTCCTTTCTTCCAGAAAAGAAAAAGCAACACAATTTTGGTCTGTTAAAATCACAAATTAAGCAGAAGAGAGAGAGAGAGAGAGAAGCAGAGTAATGGGCATTTGCGATAAAGCCGTCAGATCTCAGAGATGATTTCGAATTACTTGAGAAAAATCTTTTGCTTCTTTTCAGATTAGAGCAGAATTTTGTGCTAAATAATTTTGTGAACCACTTGCTCACTGAGTGTGTGTTAATGGCCTAAAGTAAACCAGTGATTGTGCCAGGGGGGGTTTTGGTTGTTTTTAATAAGCATGCTGAAAAAAATTTACATTTGATAGGCAAAGTTAAGTTTTACTCCCATACTTGTCTCTCTGTAGGTCACTAGAGGGAAGCACAGGGGAGAAGCACAAAACATGACAAAAGATGCCATTTCAGTTTCAAGATAGAAGAGCACACATCATCACAGCACAGTCTTTACAGTGTGATATGAGATATAGCTTTTATGTGTTTCACCTATTAAAAAAAAAAAAATTCTAAACATGGACAGCTTAATGCAAAATGTGCATTAAGTAGATCTGTATTAAGCAATATAGATTTTACTTGAACATGTTTTAAGAGGAAAGCTCCCTGTGAAAGTAACAAATCACCTGATAAATTCGGGAGCATAAATCTTAATAATCATGCAGTTTATACTATGGCTTCAGGTCTACACCACTGTTTACATTATCTCACGGCAGAATGTGCAGTATCTCTTTCCCATCTTAATCATTATGTCGCGTTCAGAGTTTGGAGAAGAGAAATATGAGAACACATGAGGCTGGATCGAAACAAACCACAAAAATGTGTCCTACATGAAAACGTGTGCCTGTTTTCGCGCTCAGACACACACAGACACACAGACACACAGACACACAGACACAAACACACCACTGCTACTATCACACACACAGACACACACACACACACACACACACACACACACACACGCACACAATAAGTACTTTATCAAGTATTTGGGAGACAATGATTCAGAGGGAAAGGCGATATTGCAGAACATCCTGCTTTTCATTTGGCCTGCCATATGCTCAGCTGAAGAGACAAAGAGGGAGAGAAAGAGAGGAGGCAGAGAGAGAGAGGGAGAGAGAGAGAGAGAGAGAGAGAGAGAGAGAGAGGAAGAGAGCGAGA